GAGTCTGAGTCCACACTGAGGCTGGGAGTCTGAGTCCACACTGAGGCCGGGAGTTCGAGTCCACACTGAGGCCAGGATTCCACGCTGGCTTTCACCCAAGACATCACTGATGCTGCCTGAGGGCAGGATGTAAAAAGGAAGAAAAGTGAAAAGAAACAGAAAGAAAATAAATGGACAGAGAGGAAGAGCTCAGGCTTAGGAATCCTACTTCGCTGCCACCTTGGAATCTTATGATTCAAAAGCAGCAGGAGAACAAGGAAAGACAGTTACAACAGCTTTTCCCTCCACAGATGCTGCCAGACCTGCTGGGTTTCTCCAGCATCCTCTGTGTTTATTTAATGAAATATGTTCTTCTCCTATTCAAGTGTCATTCTAAATAATAAGATTTGTGCTACTCATATTAACACAGACGAGATGCTGTGCTGCTCAGATTCCTTCCCTTGTTCACTCTCAATGTGACTCATTGCTGGAGACTGCATCCACTTTGTAGGCCCAGGAGTTACTGTCTCCTTGGCCATGCGCTGTGAATGATGGACCATCTTCAAAACCCTACCATGCTGTCCCCCAATCCTCACCATGGCGCCTGGCGTCACCAGTCCTGTTCAGCTTTAAAAACTATCTCACTCTTTTTCAAATGTAAAGTTAAAATGCATTCTCCTCTGTTCACTCACATGGGTGTAACATATCCTAAGGTACTATTCGATGAAGTGTTAGTGGTTATTCTGGTGATCCAGCTAATTTTTTTTAGTTTCAAAAATAGAACTTAATTCATAAAAATCTCTTTATATAAACATACATAGTCACAAACGTAGTTCGGTTTTGTACAGTAGCAATATGAAGGAACAAACAAACATCGGACTCTACCCAACAAACAAAACACAGGCATTTCTGACTTGTACAACACTACATTTATATGTTTCTGAGGCACCAGGGTGTCCGATAACTGAACGGACTCCCATCTAACTTCAGCAGGAAGGCCTCAGACATTGGTCTATCCCCAGTGGCCCTGCCCCAAGCTTTAGAGCATCTCTCAGCACATAGTCCTGGGCCTTGGAATGTGCCAACACTTGGTCAATGTCAACTCCTTGATCTCGAAGACCAACAAGTTTTGGGCAGATCAAAGTGCGTCTTTCACCAAGTCGATGGTCCTCCACACACAGCCAATGTTTGCCTTGATGTGTGACCCAACGAACAGACAGTGGAGCACTGAGTTCTGTGTCACAGAGTTAATATTTATCCCTCAACCAACATTACTGAAACAGATTACCTGGTCATTATCACATTCCAATTTGTAGGAACTTGCTGCATGTAAACTGACTGTCACATTTCTTTGTAATAGTGACTATACGCTGTTATGTACGCTAAAGATATCATTGGTTGTTATATAAATTCTTTTTAAAGACTTAGCGGACTCTCCCTGTCTCTTTCTCATCTTCCCACCCCTCCATATGAATCCGGTTTAGTTGTCAGCAGTTTTTGACTGGAAGACCACAGTGAACTATGATTTGGAAAAGGAATGCAATTGCATATTAGTTTATGTCATTTTTCAATTTTTGTGGACTGGCTGTTTCAGACTTAAGGCGGAAGAAATGGTTTAAATAATTTTCCTCAAAGACACTTGACTATAATTATGTTTGGTTACAGACGCAAACACAGACATGGGTGTAAGGACAGACAAGGAGTGCACTGTCATCGCTCAATATAATTAAATCAAGTCTAACGAGTTTCTTTGTTTAATTTCCTAAAATCATGCACAGCTTTGTTTTTATGTTACTTCCAATCTGATTATTGTTGATCCTGATTACCTGTGTCCTCAACGTTCTACTTAACCTGATTAGAGCTTCTGAACCCATAATCTCTCCTTCACAAAAGCAGCTCACATCAATCTCCTCCTTTGCTCCATCCACCAATTGCTGGAACTCTCAATTATGCCTTAAACATCTCAACTCCATTGTCTCTCACCTCCAATATGCATTGATATCAACTTGTCCAAAGCTCTGCAAAGTTGTACAGGTTAGGTGGATTGGTCATTGCCCCGTAGTGTCTAGGGAAATGTAGGATTAGCCATGGTGGGGATAGGGTGGGGAGCTTGGCCTGGGTGTATTGGAAAGCTTTAGGGGGATATGGGCCAAATGCAGGCAAATGGGACAAGTTCAGTTTAGGAAGCCTGATTGGCATGGACGAGTTGGGCCGAAGGGTCCATTTCTGTGCTGCAAACTTCTATAACTCTTTGGAAGGTCGGTGCAGACTTGATGGGCTGAATGGCCTGTTTTCACACTGTAAGAATTTTGTGATTCTAACCTATATCTATCCTGGTACAAGCTCTGCTCTCCCATCATCCTGTTTCCACTGACCTACATGGATTGCTAGCCCTTGAACAGTTCCCGTTTTAAATTAGAGATAGTAGGAACTGCAGATGCTGGAGAATCCGAGACAACAAGGTGCAGGGCTGGATGAACACAGCAGGCCAAGCAGCATCATAGGAGCAGAGAGGCTGACGTTTCGGGCCTAGACCCTTCATCAGAAAAGGGGGAGGGGAAGGGGGTT